TTTTAATTACTTCTCCTTAAACCCACAGATTTCTAAGTCCGTTCATAAGCGGAACAGAGATGTCCGCTGGTTCCCCGAAACTGTTTCATAGGTGGCTCAAAAAAACAATTCGCAATTAACGGAACATGTGTCCAAAGTTGAAGCCGATCGTCTGCGAGCATTAACATCCAATCAATGTAAATGATCTAAAAAAATGTAACCGTTTCATTACGTCGGACGATCACCGTCGAAAAGATAGCATATGAGGAGGGGGCGAGGAAAAGAAGAAACAAACAAAAAGAAAAAAAGGAAGAAGGAAAGAAAGGAAGAGAGTAAGAAAAAGAAAGAGCGAGAAGAACGGTCGCTAAAAAAGACACACCTGTGAGCCCCATCGTAGGGGGCCCAGAGCGAAAAGAGAGGAGCCGCCGGTTGATACGTATCCTGGCCAAGGATACGCGAGTAGCCGTCGCGTTACTTGTTTTGGAGCATATTCGTCGGTGCACATGAGCAATACGGGCACGGAGGTAGGCGACGGGCAAAGAAGGAGCGGTGGGTCTGACGTCATCATGAACGAATGCTCCGCGCGTTCAGGTTGCGTCAGGGGGATCCGTGATGATTGTCGGGGCTCGTCTGATCTGAAACGCAGCCGCGGGAAGCGCGCGGGGGCAAGGGCGGCCCGGAGAGGACGACGGGGTCACCATCGACGGGATAACCTCACACGTGTGCAGCCCAAAAAAAGAAAGGCCGGGGCGGAGAGGCAAAGGCGACATCGGTCGGCCAGCCAACAGCGGAGAAAGAGCGCGACTCCGGTGTGAAAAATAAAACCGGAGGAGTATGAGCTTATCGTGGACGGTGTTCGTAGCTGATAATTAAACATTTGAGTATTCGTTTTGTGTAAAAAGGGTTTTTGATGCTTTTGTTGGGGAAGAAAGAGTACTTTTGTAATAGTTTCATAATGGGATATGAATTTTGCACCTTGTATTTTTCTGAAAAGTAAAATGGCATTGGATTGCAACTGGTATTCATGGATTATAATTGACCATTTAGGTGTTCCATTTGAGGAGATTTATTGATGGTTTCGTTGAAAGGAATTTCGTTTCGCAGTACAGTTTCCTTTGGAATAATAAATTTAATTGAAGGACGGATTAACGGAGTCTCGTTAGCTATAAGTAAGTATTCAAGCGGTTAATCGCGTCCCACCGGTGATAACGAGTGCCTCGGGCTGTTGCTGCTTACTGACGCAATCGCGATGATACGAATACGATTTTTGGAGAAAGTAATTTCGCAATTAGTCGCACTCAGTTTTGTTAGTCGGTGACTGTAGCGTCTGGGACAACTTACGTAAGTTCTTGCTGTAACTATGTAATAAGAGAATGAGAGGATATCAAGAATGATTCAATGCGAAAAGAATATTCCAATTGCCAAAAGTGGAGTGATAGTTTAAAAATTATGTTAGGTATACTAATTAATAATATACAGTTTATACTTTTGGTAAAAGAGTAATCATTTTTAAACTAATTTCTCACAAGCTGTGTAATAAAATAAAATTTCATGACAAATCACCATACAGAACTAGTTGAGTTTTATAAGTGGTAATTCTTTCTAAAATCAATATGTCATTTAATTTTAATATTATAAACAATTCTTAATACGTCAAAACAGTAGAATAATCAAAATGGTGAAGACTAACTGGAAGTTAATTAACAAACGTTTCAATATTAGCAAAATACTGAACACATTTCAACGGTTCTTCAACAATTATTCAAGTAATAAATTCAAAGAAAACTGTTGCATCGCGTTACTTCATATTACTTATTCCTTCATGCAGAGTAACTTATTATCGATTATATCTACCATTCATATTCAATCGAGCCAGGCGTACGCGTACTCAACGACTTCCGAAACCTAATTTCCTCGAGAACATTATATTCTACAGTTTCCACTAATATTTCCATATAAAATCACCCTCTCCCCGCTCATTTAATTAAATAAACACCCTATCCACTTAGAAAATGGAAAACCAACCTAAAACAGATATAAAATATACACGAAAAATAACCAATATCTAGCAAGGAATCAAGCAATCATACAACTAAAAATCTACACACCATCACTTCAATGAAAGTCAAATTCCTTTCCTTTCTATTACACTTCCCCTTCAGCTTGCAATTGAATATGCAATCGCTCTCTGCGCGGTGTTTTCGGTGCCACCCTGTAGCGACCCGAGGGACCCGAGCTAGTCTCGTGGACAGTTGAGCAAACGGTACACAGGACGGCGGATGACGATATCGTAAAGTAACGTCGCCGTTGTTTTCCCACCGGCCTCCGTCGCTGTATTTTCGAACCGGCCTGCAGTTTATCCAGCACCAGTCACGGATGACAACGGTGCACAGCCGTGGCCGGTTGGCTACCTTACTTGACCCCCGCACAACGAGGGACAATTGGGTGTAACAGTCTCCCATTCGTTTGTCTGTCCGTCCATCCGTCGAGCTGTTCGTCCGTCCGGAGCGTCCGTGTTTCTCTGAATCCTCGGCCGTGTAACACGTCCATTATTCCCGGGGTGCAGCTCGTCTGCGACCATGTCGGTCCGTGTACGCACACGTGCGTGCTCCCTCCGTCTCTTTCACACGAAATCCTCTCTCGCGTCTTGGATCACGGTGTCTTCAGCTTTTTCGTCGGCGTTTTTGCGTTACTGGCCTGACTAGGCGACAGGAGGAAATGTCTGCGCGAGACCCTGAAGAAAATGAAGAGGTGCGACTCAGGGACGGATTCAAAGCCTCTGGGTCCCTGATTACTAATGTAGTGTATTTTGGTAATCTAGCGGTAATCTAGATATTATTTTATTTGGGGAAGACTAATTTTATTTGGTTCTTAAACAGTGTACCGATGGAACATGTACCTGGTTAAACCTTGAATGACGCAGAAAAATGTTTGCATGGAACAATTTTTTTCACATCTTATATAAAGGAATACATATTTTCAAGTAGGGCTACAGCAGGAATAATTGTAATAGTTTCGTAGAATATATTAAATGGATCAGAATAATAGTGGTTTAATTAGTATTTCTGAGTTCTATGATATTAATATTATTATTTTCTAATAATATTAATTAGTCTTAATTATTAATACTAGCATTTAATTAATCGGAGAACATTTTACAAAATCTTTTTCTCGAAAATTCAGAAGTAGGAGTTAGAGTACTATTACTCCAAGCCACTTGTATACAAATGAGTTTCATTTAGATAGTAGAGAATGGTATTAATGGGGCTAACTTTTTCGAAGTGGGAGTGTAGAGAGAGCCCCTCCCCAGTACACGATTTTACTGGCAAGTTATTAAAAATTCTATACTATGAAATGAAACCCAGAACAATTTTTCATGCATTTTTATTAATGTCTCTTTTTGTATTGTAAGAAGTGAGCAACGTATTTACAGAAGTTTTATTAAAAGGAAAACACCCTATACAACTCTCGTGAAAATTTGTGTATATTTGATGAACTGGAATTCTGTTTTATGACAAAACAACATTTTACTTTGAATGACCTGTCGTGTTCATTTAATGTCACTTTAAAATTTATAAGGTTAAATTTTTCAATTTACATGATGTAATTACGTGTTCCTTGATCTTTTACGCGAAAGCAGTTTTGATTTTATCCGACGGCGGGTTACGGGTTTACCCGATTTTGACTTACACGGAGCCAATTAACCGTGTAAACCGAGGGTTAGGTGTGCTGTTTATTATAGGGCGAGTACTGAAGCCAATTATGCGCAAATTACAGCGCGGCCGGTGGGCATGGTGCAAAGTTACCATCCCACCATGACACTTGCGAAAAAGTTTAAGTCGTTTGCATACTTGAGACTACGATAATGTCTCATCGCTAAATTGGTTTTGTAATCTAAGCATAATTTCAGGCGATTTAAGCCCTCCGTTACACCGAAGTTCAGTAATAATGTGTCATACAATTGAATTTGATACTTGTTGCTCAAGCCCAACGATCATGTATAATGAAAACGTACAGACACTTATGAGCAGTTCACGACGCTTATAAATATTTAGTAGTTCCACTTTTCTTTTTCATCTAGTTATTTGCTTCGTTTAAGCTATTAATATTTTTCAATGGTATTTTAAACTATCAACTAAAATATAACTCCTCCGACTATAATAACCTTTCATTTGTAAAAACATAAGTTCTTACATAAATGGTAATCTCGTCTCTCTAGTGCAAAAGGCTAGAACTCGGATTCGCAAAAGAATCGAATTTAAATAATAGTTCGTTCGTAATCTTGAGTAAAAAAGAATAACAATGATGGGGAAACGTGTTAAAACCTAGAAATTGGGCAGATATTTGCAGTCAAGGGTTAAGAACAATTATAATATCAGCTTCGGTTCTTCAAATTACAAAGAACCGAGATAAAGCTATAACTGTTATTCAGAATATTGGTTCTGAGCTATAGTTTTCAGTACCCGTTCTTCACCGATATTGTATCAGTTGTATATCGGTTTCATAACCGTTATTTTTCAGTTCCGAAAAACTGCACAACCGAGATGCAAAACCGGAGAGTAACAGTTACAGAACCCATATAATATCAGAACCGAAACCGATATACCAAATAACAGTCATGATTTTATTTCTGTTCTCCATAATTTGTTCAGTCGAATCGATACATGAATCGATATATAACAATTTCAAACAGTTATTTTTCAAACGTTTTCAATACCCGTTTGCAATCGACTACTACAATGTCAAACAATGTTAGAAGCCTATCGGATCAGTTTTTCCGGGAACACCACGTATATCGCGCGTCAAGCGGCGAGACCCGTATCAGACACGGGGGCGTACTTGTGCGTGAGATATCACCTGGCCGAGTGTTCGCGGCGTTCGACAACCGGCGAGGCAGTGAGACGAGGGGGAGGCGAAAAAGAGGAAGAGAATAGAACGTCGGTTTCGAGCACGCGCCCTACTCTATTCGGTTCTGCCGCGTAGACGCGTTCAATTTGTTCCTTCCAGTCGCGTCTCGCCGCACGAGCAGGGAGTATGCACTCTTCGTGACCCGTTTCCCTCGCGATCTTTCCGAGCACAGTCCGCGAAACGATCGCCCGACTAGAATTTGCCCCTTTTCCCGCCGGAACACCTGTGATTTAACTCTCGCTACGTTTCCCGCGTCCCATTTCTGTTTTCCCTCCATTTTTCCATATTTTTTAATTGGTAATAATATACCAGGCTAGAGACATTTCGCTGAACAAACGAGACACTTGGATACGGTAAAAATTATTTATTGACCTGGATTTAATGTTTGCTTGAGATTTTATGAAAGGATAGAGTAGGCTAGTAAGTTTTTTCTACGGACAATATTAACGCGTCGTTGGATAATTTTTAACTCACTGATTGCCACCGTTGTGTAACAAATATTAACCAGTTAATTGCGTTTGACGAGTATACACGTCGTCTTAAAACTCGAAATGATACTAATTATTTTTCAAAGTGGATTAGTTATTCTTTCAGATACATATGTAATTCTTCTTTATTCTGCTTCAGTTTTTCGTTGGAGTATATTATAGACGCATTTGCCCTGCTTTTGATGGATATTTCGAATTAAATTTCACAGTTAACAGGTTAAACCCAGAAGATACCTCACTTTGTTCCGTTTATTAGCATAATTTAACTATAGGAATACATTTTTGAACATATTTTACTGAAGTTATATGTTTTGAGTACTTTTTGCAAATTTTTTTATTGTTTAGGTGTGAATGACGACATTTGAAAACAATATTTAAGGAGTTTTAAGCAACTTTAGAATCGAGAAAATAATTCCGCTTTAATTGATACCGTAAGAAATAGAATGCAATGGAAACTTTTGTGCGCTAATAATGCTGGTATGTTGTTTGATTCGCTGGTTGATTTTTAATAATCAATTAAAACTTTAGAATTTGTTTCGCATTCTTTACACTTTTCTAGATCGCGACGCTCCCACGTGAAATCCTAAGAAATCGCTCTACGATCTGGTCTGTTAACGAGGAATCCAGACGATAGAAGAACGTTGGAACACATGCGGCGCATCGATTAACGCCGATCTTCTGGATTTCTTCACCTGTGAATCCTCAGGCGATCCTTGACATTAATCTTGACAACGCAGTGTAATTTTTATTCTAATGGCCTAGTTTTTCTTGTGCATCTACGATTGATCGGATTCCTTGTGCGATAAAGATAGGGATTCGTGACTTTCCTGGTATCGTTTTTCTTATCCAGATAGTTCCTTAGGCGACAGACTTGCGAAAGATATTGAGAAATAGTGCAAGTTTTATGAAACGTTTCATAACATCGTTTATTTTGTTTCCAATCTCGCAAGTTTCTTCATCAATTGAATATTTGTTCTCTATTAAGATTTTCATAAATAGGTTTAAATAATCTATTCACTATTAAGAAGGAAATTATTAACATAGACAAATATAGATTATAAATTATTAAAATTTTAATACTTTAATTCGAGTCTGCATTTCATTAACCTCATTATTTCTTGGTGATATAAACATATTTATAATCGATTAATAAAACGATTACATCTTAATTATGATTTTTTAAAACAGGACGAGACTGCTGAAATGAGATCTCTGTTTGTCATTAAACATCGACGAGGAAGTGTACTGGCCGATGTTAATTCAATTTTTCCCACATGTTTTCCAATCTCGTGCATTTATGCACTGCACGCCCGCCGTCAATGCTGCCTACAGCTGCGAGTTCGAAATTGTTTAAAAACACCTGCCCTGCGTTGCACGTGTAGTAAGAAGAAGAGTTCGTTCATTGTCAATTTTCCTCGTGAGACGAATACATTTTAAAACCACCTAGAAATTGTAGTTGAAAAATAATAAAATCTAATTTTCGAACAGAACGTTTCCACAAAAATTCTATTACATTAGAAGCAAAAAACTACATTCGTAAAAAATAATGAATTCTATTTCCTTAGAAACTAACATTAAAATTATATTATTTTAATGTGGTTGTCACGTTGCACGCGATTATAATTTTAATCAACGTATGGAGGGAACTTGATGCACAGCCATGAACGTTAGAAAATCAAGCATTATCACAACAAATTCGACGCCTAATATCAGAAACTACAATTAGCAATTAAATTATAAAAATATTCTTTAACGTCCGCTTAACATCAACGCAGCCCGCGAATAAAATTATTTCAGCGAAATAGGTTTATAGCAGCATCCTCGAGCACAGATTTTAAATATTTCATAAAGAATAATAAGGAATCTCGCCTGAAGATTCCATTTGATTTTTATCTGAATTAAATTTCCTCGCTTAATTACCGACTCTAGCGGTGCGGACTGAAGGAAAATATAAACTCTACACAAAGGTGTGCGATGATTGGGTACACCGAAGCAAGAAATCGTTCCGGATGAACGTATTAATTCTCAGTTCGTCAAATATTCGGTTCAATAGCATATTAACGAGATATCGAGAATTAACCTGTTAACTGTGGAATTTAGTTTGAAAAATCTCTCGACTTGCGCGCAAAAAATCAAAAAATGAAATGTGTAGTCCTCAAACACTGGGCGAATGCACCTAGAGTATATTTCAATGAAAAACCAAAGTAAAACAAAGAGGAATTACGCGTTTATCCGATAAAATAAAGAATTCATTGCTGAAAGAATTAGTATCATTTCAAACTGTAAAATGACGTATATATAGACGTCAAACGCAGTTAATTCGTTAACAGGTTGACTGCCAGTGATATTTTTAGTTATTCACCAGGGAGCCGACATTGTTTCTACAAATATTTTTGTTTGACTTTTTGAAATTTTTCTATAGAAATTTTAAGAGTGCATCTATTGAGACTTTAACTGATTTACAATTCAGTTTGCGTATTGCTAAATCAATTTCTTTAATAATTTCTCGGAGAAACATCTGTTATCGAGATGTGTGTTCGACGCTGGCGGAAAATACCTAAATACTCCGACTGAAGCAAGTGACTAATCAAAAAGTGAGATAAAAATCAATTTTACTTGAAAGTTTACTTTTTTTCGTAAATCATAAAATAAAATGTAAATACTAACTACAAAGAATTCACATCGTTTTTTTCTCCATTCGCTACAATGGTCGTGATCATGTAAATCGTAAGTCCTAAACTATTACTTATTTTGACTTCAAAAAAATTCGGAATATGGATAAAATATTAATAAATATATGTGTAAAAAATCAACAAAAATTAATGTTCAGATTAAAATAAAAATTCCTAAATTAAGCGTAGAAACTGTCGTTCTAGATGAAAACACTCCCTTGAGTATTACTTTGAAACCACATAATTGACCCAGTTGCAAGTAACCGCGGCTGCATTTAGGTTTGGCAATTGTAGTAATGACTACTGAAATATATAAATTAAAAAATCATTGATTCCAATAAATCCTAAGAAAGTTATTTAACAATACGCAAATTATGGCCTGTATATTAAGTTGCATCCATCGTTTAAATAATTTCTTCACTACACTAACACTTTCAAGCCATATTTTCTATTTCTTACATAACCTAGAACATATTTATGCTGACAGATGAGAAAAATGACTTTCAGTATTAGGATCATCAGTAAATAAGATTAACGTGTTAACTGTAGAATTTAATTTGCAAAATCTCTTACGATGCGCGCAATGAAATCAAAGAATGAAGTGTATACTTGTCAAACGCGTGCCAAATGCATCTATAATATATTCCAATGAAAAAATAAAGCAAAACAAAAAAGAATTAGAACGCAGTTAACTGGTTAAATAACAAAAATATATTAGTTATATTAATTTTTTCCTGTTTTTGTCCCATTTTATTCAAGAATTGACCACTGCACGTCGCATCCACGCGTCTATGCGGATTCATGACGAGGAAGCGAATCGGCTCGGTTAATTTTTTCCCAGAAATTGAAACCGTTGCGCGCCTTGAAACGCGCCGCGGCGGCGTAGCCAACGATGCAAATCTCAGATGCGCGATTACAGCGGGATCATACGCTTCCATGCTAATTCCTAACGAGACGTATAATATTCTTATTAAACGCATCCGCGCGTAACACGCGCGCCTGGCCGGCGCACCGTTGTTCCGTGCATCTAATCGAGCCAACATTAATTGACACCGACCACGAGCTGCAACATCAGTTATCATGGCTAATATAAATATTAACATAAACGCGGCATTTAAACCCTGCTAATACGAAGGAAATTGTTAATAGGATCGCCGGTGTTCGAGTGCACGTAAACGGGCTGCGGATGTTTATTCCGGTCTCAATTTTGCATGCTCTTTATTTCCCTCGTGCTTTTCCCCGCCCGCCACTGTTTTCTTTTTAAACCGGGTTCATTACAATGCGGGATTCGATATGCAGGACGTACCACGGGATTCGGATGGAAGTATGAAATTAGAACGGTAAAAGATGCAGAGAAATTTTGCTGGGATGACTTTGAATCGAATGGTATTAAAATGCGCGTTAACTGGTGTAGAATCCCTGGTGTTTCGATGATCCTGCAGTTACTATCAACTTTTTTTAACGCCGTAAAAAACGTTCTGTAACACATCTTACTTGCTGTGATTTATTTTCTGCAAGTATACCAGGTGGATATTTGAATGTATTAATAAACCTTATTTAAATGAATTTAATACTGGATTTACAAACCTTGTTTAGTAAATGTTTACGTCGCTTTTTATTAAGGTAGTTGCACGAATCTGTATCCTAATTGTTCGTTTTAAATCCATTCACTTATAAGATCTAAATGAACGAACGTAAATTTTTATGGGAACAATAGAATAAACTGTATAATGAATGTCTGTAAACTTAATATTATCAATCAGTTTTAAGCATAAGTTATCCAAAATGACGAGTACATTGAATATAATTGTTATTTGGGAATAACGGATGATCGATATATATAAGTATATTCATATATATATTCATTATTCTCAGATAATAATCAAATAAATCAATTTCTTTTCGATCGATGATCAATATTGATACTCATACACCCCTACACCGTCTCTCTAGCTGCTGCTACGCGGTCAGAGACGCAACCCCCGTCATCGTTCCGTCGCGCACAAGACATGGAAATCCTTCATGCTCGTCGGTGTCTCAGTGTGCGTGACACGGGCGTTGAGGACCCCTCGAGCTCTGAACTCGCATGCGAGATACGAGGAGCCGAGGCCTGCCAAGGGAATATTATACTTGGCGATGACGCGTACGCGCCGCAAGGAGGAGAGGCCCGTCTCGCCTCCATGAGGACAGAGAAATCTGAAGGGAGAGAAAGATGCAGAGGAGGAGAGAAGAAAAGAGAAAGAAAGAGTTGGAGAGAGAGCGGGGGAGGGGGAGAAGAAGTATGTGATAAAGAGGAAGAGGAAAAGAAAGTGGAAGAAAATATTTGATAGAATGAAAAAGAAACAGAGA